TAATCAACTCATATATTTGGAACTGCTTATGTAAAAAACACTTTTTACTTATAAGTTTTCCTATAAGAAATGCTTTATAAGTACGTTGAAATATGAGTTTTTAGGTGCAATAGTCCCTAAATTTATACTCAATTTACATTTTGATATTTGAATTTGCAAAATGATTGTTGTAGTCTTTCAATTCTATTTCATTAGCTTGGTCATGTCGTCAAATCAATTACATTTTTGTTGTTGTTAAATTCACGGGTAAATTTGTCATTTCAAGTTCAACCCCCCATCACTCACACCAGCTTTACCACTCCCACCACTATTTTATACCAAAACCCACCATTCCCACCACCATCAATGAAGAACAATCTCACGAGAGAGATAGAGAAATTATTTCCCAACCAATAGCATAGAGACAAAGAGAAGGGCGGGTGAGGGAGGTGTGTTGGGAAGCGAAAAAAAAAAACTTACTTGTAACGGGGATATCATTGTTTTGCTATCCTCGACCAATAACACAATGACACAATAACACATTGAAAAGTTATCCTATATGTCATTAAGTTATTTGTGGGGAAATAGCAAAAAATGTTATCCTCATTACATGAAAGTTTCTCTCGTTGAAGAGAGGGAGTGGAAAAGGGTGGGTGTGGTTGGTGCACGTTTGGGGTGGTGGGTGTTTTTGTCTGTGTAGTGGGTTAGGGGTGATTGGGTGGGGATATCAATTTAGGGTGGGTTTGGGGTGGCTTCAATGATGGGCATTTGGATCAAATTTGTTGCTTGAGATGGGTGGCTGGGTATATGTCGGAGAACAGGGTGGTCGGCGGTTATGGCTGGGTAGGAGTTTGGGCTGCTGGTGTTTTGCTCATTAGAAAGAACATCAAAATATTATTTTGCCTCTAAATTTGACAAAAATAGGAAAGTAATATCATGAACAATGATAATAAAATGAGTGGAGTTGAAGGACTACAATAACCATTTTGTGAATTCAAGAAACAAAATGCGAATCAAGTACAAGTTCATGAACTATTGCTCCTGAAAAACCGTTGAAATAATTGAAATTACCTGTAGGATGACCAAAATGCCTAGAGGGGGTGAATAAGACAATTTAAAATTATAATTAATAAATATAAATAAACTTCGGTAGCAGGAAACGTGCTGAGCATAAAATAAAGAAACACGCAGAGAATTATTTTACGTAGTAAAACCTCAACTTTGGGGAAAATCTACTGGATTCCTTAGTCCAAAACAAATACACTACATAATGATGATTACAATAAGTACTCACACACTTATCCTAGATACATTCTAGATAATGTTTACCGACTTCTTCGTAACTCAACTTCTATCACGGGATTATCTCTCGACACTCCTTATGTTGAATGTAATACTGGTCATGATTGCTTCAAGCTCGCTGGAGTTCTTCCAACTCTCCTTATGTTGAATCTGATACTGATCATGATCAATTCAAGCTCATTGGAGAAAAATCGTCACAACGGTCTTGGTGCCCACAATCGTATGAGTCACCGAACATGGAAATGAATGCAATATGAATGATAAAAGTGTTTGATAAATTAGACAGTGAACACTTTATGATTTATCTCAAATAAAAACGCAACTTTCTTAAACATTTAAGCATACAAAATTATTGTTCAAAAGTTGTACCCAGAAGAAAAACAGCAAGCCTTATTTTATATAACTTTTTCTTATCTAGGAAGAAAAGTCCACGTCCAAAACACATTCATTAAAGGCTAACCAAAGATATGTTTCCTAGTCAAAATCAAAATCACCAAATATGTATGAGCAAAAGCAAGAAGGTTTTGTAACAATATTACTCTTTAAAGACCCTTGATATTATTGAAGCAAGTTTCAAGAATATCACAATTAATTTTTAATAGAGTATATGATAGTTAACTTGATTTGCAAGCACTCAAGACTTGACCCAAAAGAAGAGGCTTGATAGGACGTAATCAATTTGAAACAAACATGCTTAAATAAGATGCACTCCTAAAGGGATTTTAATTTATTTAAAAATCAATGAAATAAAATTATACAAAATTAGTGAAACATCCATTCCTAGACATAAAACTATAAATATACCATACACTATTTAAAACATAGAAACACACCCAAAAAAAACCCAAAAGTGACAGTTGTTACATTTTTTTAGTTTAATTACTTAAATGAAATACCTTTATTACCCATTTAGTATTAAATTAGTTTTTTTGAAAATTTTTGGGCTCTCTCTCTCTCTCTCTCTCTCTCCCTTCGCAGAAACCAAGCTTAGGCCAACGATCTTGGTGCTCCGGCCACAGCCAGCAGTGACAGCGATTGGAAAAGGATCGGCCAGGGCCGACGATCAAGTCTGGGCTAAAGCCCAGCCACATCAGCCATTGAAGACGCCGTTGCGAGCTCAAAAAGGTCTGTGGATTTCAAGTTTTCTGATGTCGTTTCCGGCGACTCCGACTGTTGTTTTCGTCGATCGAGGTATGAAACTTTATCTAATTTTCGTGCTCAAGCTGTTTATGTATGTGGTTATGATAGATTTTGGAGTTTTGGAAATTAGTCAATACACCCTAGTTTGACCGACGGCTTTGGCAGTGTTCCGGATTGCTCCGACCACTTTTTGGCCGGGATCCAAGACCAAAAATTACTCCCCTTGTTAGTCTGAATATGTTGGTATAGGTATTGTATGGACTTTTTAGATTTTATTGTAGTCTGATTTGGGTGATTTCATGTTCGATTAATTAAGTTGCTAGTTAAGTTTTCATAATTTTTGCAGCTTTGGAGTTTAAATTTGAAATGTAGATCCAATTCTTCTTGATTTTATATGTTTATTTTTGTTATTGTCGATTTGGAGATAAGCTATTGGATTTTCTAATTTCGTTCTAATTTGTATTAGATATTCGTTTGAGTTTTAAATTGTGATTTTAATTTCTTTTTGTTTATAATTTGGATTGATTTCATATTCAGTTTGGTTGTGGATTTGCTTTTGTGTTTTGGTTTGAGCTGTGTTACAAATTTCTGATATTTGATTATGTTATCATATTAATTGAGGTATGTTTTTTTCAATTGAATATGAGTATATTCGTGTTTTTTCTATTTATGCACTATTTGTTTTGAGTGGACTATAATTTGCTGTTAGGTAGCAGTGCTATTACCTTATATTGGAATTTTATAGACATGCATTAGAAATAGGATTTCATAGGAAACAATCAGTGTTATTACCTTATACTGGAACTTTACAGTGGTAGACATGCATTAGAAATAGGATTTTATATGAAACTAGCAGTGTTATTATCCTATACTAGAACTTTACAAGGGGTAAACATGCATTAGAAATAGGATTTCAGAGGAATCTAGCAGTGTTATTACCCTATACTGAAACTTTACAAGGGGTAGACATGCATGAGAAATATGATTTTAGAGAAATCTAGCAGTGTTATTACCATATATTGAAATTTTACAAGGGTTAGACATTCATTAAAAATAGGATTTCAGAGGAATCTAGCAGTGTTATTACCCTAAAATGGAACTTTACAAGAAGTAGACATGCATTAAAAATAGGATTTCAGAAGAATCTAGTAATGTTATTACCCTATATTGAAACTTTACAATGGTAGACATGCATTAGAAATATGATTTCATAAGAAACAAGCAGTGTTATTACCTTGTACTGGAACTTTATAGTAGTAGACATGCATTCAAAATAAGATTTCATTAGAAACAAGCAGTGTTATGACCCTATACTGAAACTTTACGGTGGTAGACATGCATTCCAAATAGGATTTTAGAGGAAACAATCAGTGTTATTACCCTATACTAGAACTTTACAGTCATTAATCAACATGAAAGTAAACTAGCAGTGTTAAGAATGAGTATATGACTAAATATCTCTTTCTTTTTTGAGTTGTTGAAAACCGACTATTTTATAGTCATATGCAGTTAGTCCAATAGTGAAAATCCAATATAGTTTCAAAATTTTGTCTTGGATTCGAATCTAAATATTGTTATTACAATAGACTGAAACTTTACAGCAATTAATCAACATTACAATAAAGGTTTGGTTTTTAAATGTCTTACCTTTGAAGCCTTTTCTTGTTGAAATTGTTTTCTGAAATTTTATCTTTGTTTTGTAGGTGGAGGTTAGTATGTGGTGTGGTTTTTGAAAGTAGATCAAGCTTGGTGGTAGTTATGGAGTTTCATTTTGCATAAATGATGAAGACGGTGAAATGAAGAGATGTTTTGCAGAGATGATTTAATAAAGATGCATGCTTGAAGTTACTGTTTTCGAGACAGTTTTGTATTGTAATAACATGTTTGGACTTTTTGTAACCAAAAAAAAAAAAGTTTGGGCTTTTTTATAAAATTGGGTTGGGCTTGTTTTGAGTGTTTTTTTTATTTTTTTTTTTTTTTTTTTTTCTGTTGGGCATCAGTGGCAGTCCTGTAATTTATAGGAACTTCAACACCAATTTCTTATATAGTAAATGGATTTTGGGTGTGTTTCTAAAGTGCATTCCATGTGAGGTTTTTTTTATAATTTCAGCTCATATTTTGGGTATATTAGTGAAGCTCCCATAAAATTATATCATACTTTAAAAAAAATGTTCCCAACATGAAAGCATGAAAAATAACATGCCTTACCCTTCAGATTAAATGGCTCATACATGTTAAGTCACAATTATGGAATTTGGGGATTGCTGAGCTATTTCAATTCTACAATTTCTGGAAATCAGAGACAACAATTTTGCTTCAACCTTCTAGCTAAATGACACTTCCAAACCTATACTAAGTTCTAGAAAATGCCAACACAATTTCATACTAACAATAATTATTAATAATCCAAAATCTCGTCGGAATTTACTTCACACATGATAAAACACACCCCCGGTTAGACATTAAAAAACGGATCGGGTTTGAACTTTTACTTGGACCGAGCCCACGTCCTTCGGATTACATCTAGAGGGCCCAAAACAGAGCTAGGGTTTTTGCTTATAAACGCTGCCAACCCCTCACTGCCTCTTTCACATAGCGCACCTCCCATTTTTCATCTTCATCGGACGACTTCGAAGAAGGAGAGCAAAGGTTTCAGTCTCGCTTCGTCGCCATGAGAGCCAAGGTACAACTAAAATCAAAACCGTAATAGAAACTTCAAATTGTTTACGTCTATACATCCTCGTTCTTGTGTTTTTGTTGAAAAGTTTTTTTTTCTTTTTCTGATAAGCACCTAAGAATGTCATAGCTTCCGATCCTTGAAAAATGAAATTGATATAAATGGTAAAATGTGCTGCAGTGGAAGAAGAAGCGCATGAGGAGGTTGAAGAGGAAGCGCCGAAAGATGAGGCAGAGATCTAAGTGATAGCTTCAGCTGTGCAGCTCTTTCGCATGGCGTTTCTATCTTTAGGCTTTTGAGTTTTGTCAGACTTAGTGGTTTGTTAGAATTAATATGAGAAACCCTTGGTGTTCTTATTTCTATCTTTCTGCTACATTTCCTAATCTTTAAATGAAATTTGACCCTTTTTTTTTTTTTAATTATTTAAATTATTTGGTTTATTTTGAAGAAGTTATGAATTTACATGTTGCTAATTGGAATGTGGTTTCTGAAATTATGTTTTTGGGCATGTTCATGTTGGGTTCATACAGATTGAATATCTGTGTTGTGGTTTGGTTGTCATTGGAATGCTCTTTTCCAAATTAACTTTTCTACTCAATTTGTCATCCAATTTGAGGAAGTAAGGAAGGAATTGGGGATTAGCTTCACTGGCCACATTTGATCAATGAAATTTTGGTCTACCTTTGAAATTTTCTAGTAAAATGTGGCCCATGACAATCCAATGGTAGTTGCCCCCAAAATCTCATGATCTATGATGATCATTTTTATTTTTTATACAAGCGATATTGGGTGAGGAGCGGGGGGAATTTATGTTCTGATAATTTGGCAGTCTGACCAAGTTAATAATTTTCGAACACATTTTATGCCATTAGCCATTTTACAAAACACAGTTTGTGCTACTACTGGTCTGCTTGTATCCCACTGATCAATTTAGGATTCAAGTATATTGCTAAAGCGTGCCATTTCTGCTACTATTCGTGCCTATCTTCTTCAGTTCCTCAAATGTAAGTACGGTCTCTGAATCGAAACCACCTGCAAACTGAATGTAATGTTGCACGTGTCAGTACTCGGTATAGCAATTAGGGTTACAAATTAGAATCATGAGTTTGAGGAGCAATTAGGGTTACCTGGTGTACCCGGAAAGCGAACCGAACTCCTTGAAGCAAAAGATTATCTTCTCTTGAGCAATCACTAGAGTGAACTTCCTTGATAATCCTTTTCATATACTCTTTGGCTAGCCTTAGTGAACTTAATTTCATCTGCGAGTATTGGCCAAAGAAATTCAGTTATTACTGGTGGTGAAATAAAGAGGTTGATTTCAAATGAATGTTATTTGCATCCCTTGCTTGAAAATTTGGAAATCTGTGATCACTAAAAGCTGATCCTCATGGATTTGCTTTTGTAAAATTTTGTAGAATAGTGAGAAGGGCTGTCAATTAGTGTTCTAATTTTCTTGTTTCCACATCATTGTAATTAGTTGAAATTAATCCCTTAAGCTCAAATTTACCCCAATTTAGTAACATTTAAATTGAAGTCAAATGTAAAAAAAGATATACCTCACTCAACAATAATTACCACATATAAAGTTGTAGGCAAGGCATAATTATCAGAGGGACCTTAAAGCTATAAAGGTAGAGAAAAAAATAATTCAATTTGCTAATTGCTCCACCTACCTGGCCCATCAGCCCTGAGTCTAGCATCCATTCCCATGGGATCTGGAAATCTCTGTATTTCTTGCTGGCACTCTCCCTTGTCCTCTCTGCACTGCTAACACTTCTTTCCAACCTGCAAATTGAAATTGTGACCTTCAAAATTTAATTCACTATATTGCATGAAATTAAATGAAATAGTAAAAGGTTTTTGTACTCCAATGCTTGCCTGTCTTGTAATGCTTCCATTCTTCTTAGAGCAAGGATCATTGGCTCTTTCATGTTGTCTTCAAATGATGCGACTTCAGATTTCAGATTTCTGAGGTCTCTGTAGTTGCAAGCAGCTTCCCGCAGCGTGTCCGCTTTTCGTTCCGGCCACTGCGGGAAATGTTTAAGCACTGCCCTCTCATCAACCAAGGAAGACAGCTGCCGGTCCAGCCAGTTTACAAATGCTTCTACATCAGCAATGTTTGTAAATTTTGCAGACTCAACCTCACTGATCAGGAAATTGATGAATTCTGCTTGTGTTTCGACCTCTGACTTTATCTGTCCATAAATCATGCACATTACAAATTTTGAGAAAATTGGTGTTTGTTATGAGATTTGAAGAATAGCGTCTGCTACATTATACTTACAGCTGAAAGATAAGATGAACGGTTTTCGATTTCTCCGATCATGTTCTTGGTAAGAGCAAAAACATGAACTCCTGCGGGGTTGGCTTTGTTCTCCATGTGTGGATCTTTCCTTGTAAGTGAACGGTACAGCTCAATTACTTCTGGCACACGGCGGACTCCTTTGGATCCGAGGAGTGATTTTGAGGGCGGAGGCGGAGGTGGCGGTGCTGGTGCTGATAGCCCTTTATTCTCTTTCACCTCCTTGGGTGAAATTGGAGGAGGCCTTGGTGGTGGTGGTGCGTTGGTTGGTAATCTTGCTGGCCTTTCCTTTGTGGCTTGAGATTCTGTGTTGTCTGGTCTTGGACACATTTTCTCTTTGGCAGGACTTTGCTCTGATATATCTACAAAAGCTGATTGTTTCTGTTGAGATGCGTCAGTATAATTATTCTCCATAGAGTTCTGAAACTTCTTCCAGAGAACAGATTTTCTCTCACTGTTGTGTGCTTTGAGGGAAGTTATTTGAGATTTGAGACGGGCAACTTCTTGTCTGAGCTCATGATTTTCTTTCTCCAATGAACCCTTCTTTTCGAGAGAGTCTTCGAGTTCTTTCTTGAGGAAGGTGATGATCTCTGCGTTTTCATCTTCTTCTGGCATCCTTGTTAGTTGTTTGCTCTGCTTTCACTATAAGGATGACAGAAGAGGAGATGGCTAGATATGACAATGAGTAGCTGGGTCGTTCCTCTTTTATGTTATGGTCTTACTTTTGATGTAAGGTTTGGTGTGTGCACGTAAGCCTGACGAGTGTTGCTCTAGTTAATGCCCCTATGTATGTTGGTAATGTTTGTTTAGGTAATTAAGAATTCTTTTGATTTTTTTTTTTTTAAAAAAGGTAATTAAGAATTCAAGAGTAGACCCTTATGACATTTCCAAATTTGAGCCGTGCTAGCATCGGTCTCTCCCGTTGATGCATGTGGGTCCCAAAAAACATCAATAGCCTACAGTTGCCCAGGGACTAGGGCAGCTCGTGCTTGTATAGTTCTTACGAGTTCTCATCCTATACAAAGATTTATTATACCGTCATAGGGCAATGTAGCATTGCAGGTGAGGGATCAGCATAATTGTTGCAAGTACTTGTTTTAGGTGCAACATTATATTCTTCCGTCAAATTTACCACAAACCCCAAGTCTTTTTCTTTAGTTTTTAATATATCTTGCAATCATGTTAAAATAGCAATAGCAAGGTAGTGTTGCTAGACAATCATTAAATAGAAAAGTTTTAAGCTATTAGAAAATAAGCAAACAATGTATATTAAGTTTACACAAAAAATCAATATGAGAAGCGAGACAAACATATAAGTGCATCCCCACACTACAAATCAGCAAAGAAGTGGGAAACATGATTCAAACTCGAGACCCCTTGTAAAGTAGACTCGAATAATGTATTAGACGACTACTGGTTTCAAAAGCTTAAGTTGTGGGAGTGAGCCAACAATTTACATCAACCTTACACATTTGTTGTCAGTATCATATGCGCTAGGTATGTCATTTCTTTCATATTTTACACGTACTCTTGTGGAGCTTGTTCCAAACAGTAAATGGTATATGATTGATTGCTAATTAACAACTCCTAAAGTAATGCCTATGCTTACGTGGCCAATCGTTGTTGTCCAGGTGTCATTCTTTGACTGGGATGTTGAAATCATTAGGTAAATCTTAGTATAAGGTCGGTGACCCTCTTGGTTGATAGTGATATTGGCAATAGATCTAGTCCTTCATGAGATTATGACAAAATGGAATTAGCATTTTCTATTCTTTGCTTGCGAAGCAAAGCCAAAAGCAGGGAAAAGTGGGGGAAATGGGCAGAAGTGAAGGATGCTGACAGAGAAAAAAATTAAAGAAAAAGTAAAAGCCTTGATATTTACAGCCCACCAGATCGAGATCTTCCCATTTTTGCTTTATTTTTTCCTGTGCTTCCAGGAAAAAGTTACAAAAACATGAAGAAGGGTGTTATGGTGAAGAACAGTAAAGCACTAAGGCTGAAACTGAAAGGCAGCTCAAATGCTCACCTAGACCTGAGGTGTATTTACTAGGGCATCATCATCTTTAAATCTTTTTAAAGGGTTTTTATTCTTCTCACTGATTTGGCACAAGTCCACTCCAAATTCAGCTTTAGTTTTCTAGGGGACCCCTGATCAAAATACCCTACAAGCAAGGGAACCTTAGGGGGGTCAAAGATAAACAGCTTGATCAAGACTCAAAACCAGAATAAGTGTAGCAGCATGGGGGAACATGAATGTGCAGGACCCCATATATTGATTTGGGTTTGTGGCAAGCACAGAAAAATGCTTAACCATAAGATTTTTTTTAAATAAAACAAGTACATAAAAAGATTGAGAAACTGGGAAGCAGGTAGGTAGACAATTTATTTGCAAGACAGGCATGACCCTACATAAAGGGAAACAGAAAAATCAGATGTGATCATCTGCTTACAAGGTCCCCTTATTGAAAGGCTCTTACAAGTTCCCTTAATTCTGTCTTTCAGAGGCATCTCAGTCTTTGCTGTAGGGATGTTAAAATCATACAGGCTGTTAACATGATGTGGCTTGGAATTAGCAGATTGGGATGTTAATTGGATTGACCAAACTCTAGTCTTGGTGGGTTAGATAGATGTCACATAATTGCCCATTTGGTTTCTTCAGTCAAGCTAGTCAATGTAGCAAAACCTAAATAGTAGTAGCAGCGTAGTGTAAGTGAGCAGAAACTTTTGGGAGTCACTCACACAAGCATGAACGAGTGTTCTAGGTAAATTATTTAAGTATAAAACAAGTTTTAGATCATCGATAAATATACGTCGTCAAATTAAGCGAGTGTGATTAACATTCCTACAAACTCTTTCATCTTGTGAAATCATGAAATGATTTTCGTATTCAAAATCATTCCCACACCTTCAAATTCAACCACTATATCCATAAGCATTAGCAATAGTCATCCACTTCACTACCAAAGTCACACCCACTAAAGAGTTCAAAGCATAGGAATGATTCGAGTGAAGCAGAAAATAACTCATACATAGTCAAAATTAAAAAATTGGGTTCTTTCACAAGTAGAAACAGAAACAGAGGAAATAGTAAAACTACTAAGACATAATTTCGCTCTTATTCTAATTTTTGTTTTAAATCATCCCCAAGGATGGTTTTTATTGAGGATTTGGTAGACGGCTATTGGCAGAAGAGACCCTGGACCCCCATTCAAGCAGCTCTTTGCTTGTGTCATCCTTGTGAACAATCACTTCTATGAAGCACAGGCAGTCTTTCTTCTCCCCTGTTGCTGTTGCAATGGCTTCTGTTAGCTCCTCTTCAGTACGAACCTGAGACAAAAATAAACAGAAATGTAATCATGATTTAACATCTCCAATTCAGTATTAGTCTAATAAAGCTATGACAACGTTATTCACACTTCCAATTTTTCATCATGCACTCTATTCCAGAGTGTGTTGAAAACAATTCAATATTGTTTTTAGAGTGTGAAATGACAATAGGAATAGCAACTGCCTAAAGCATATGCGCCTATTCTATAGAATATTTTTGTATCACCAACCTTGGTTGTCCAGCAGTTTCCTTCACCATTGTGGATTGCATCCACCAAACCCGTGTAGTTCCAGTTTTTGATCACATTGTAAGGCCCATCATGGATTTCAACTTCTATGGTGTATCCACCATTGTTGATAAGGAAAATGATGCTCTTTTGTTCACATCGAATCATGGTTGACACATCTTGTGCGGTCACCTGTCACCCAAAATGTCATATATGCAAGCTTTTAGATCAATTCAACAACATTTCTATGAAATCTAAAGTTTGATTAACAATGGTTGAAACGTTCTAACCTGGAAGCTCCCATCACCAATGCAAGCAATGACACGCTTGCTTGGAACTGATTGTGCATACCCAAGAGTTGCACCAACAGACCAACCAATGGAACCATATTGCATCTGGAATTCATACCTGCAACACCAACTTTTTCTCTCTAATGATATTGTCACAATAAAAAGCCTCAAAATGAAATTGATAGGTTCTTTGTTGCATGCTCACCCACATCCTTCTGGCAATTTTAGTTTCTGGCAGTTAAACCAAGAATCTCCAGTCTCAGCAATAACAGCAGTATCAGCTGAAAGAAGCTTCTGAATGTGCTGGAACATAATGTTGACTCTCAAAGGCTCATTAGGTTGGCATTTGACAGGCTGGCCCTCTGGGACGAAGATTCTGTGGTAGTTTTCATAAGCAGTTGTGTTTTTGTTGACCCTTTTTGCAAGTGCTTGTAAAAAGTCCTTCATTAGAACACAGCCAAAAGAAGGGCCATTGCCGATGACCACACGATCGGGCTGCACAATGATTGCCTTCTCCTTTTTGAGAAGGAGAGAGTACCCTACAGAGCTGTAGTCATTGAAGATTGGACCAGCAAACAAGTATGCATCAGCAGACTCCACAATCTCACCACAGTAGGCAGTGCCCACAGCTCCCCAGTATGTCCCTATGTAGTGAGGGTGGGTTTCTGGGAAATGCCCTTTGGCTGATGGCATCACAGAAACTGCATAGCCACTGGCATCTGCAAACTCAACAAAGGCTTCATGGGCCTTTGCCACTCGGAGTTTCGGTCCGCCCACCATCACTGGCTTCACCGCCTTGTTTAAGAAGGCTGCTGCCGCCTCCACAGCAACTTCTAGCCCCATCTTGTTAGTCATTCTGTATCAAGAAATCATCGAATTAACATAAACAAACATCTCAAACTCAAGAAGCCCTGCTGAGGAAATATTATGTTGGCAGACTGTCAACCAGCCATCTCATAGAAGAAACCATCAAGGATTAACAAAGAAGTTACCTAGGTGAGATAGCAAATTTGATGGGCTCTCTGCTAAAAGTTGGATGTGGAATGCCAGGCATGTTGCAACTAATGCTAATATAGACTGGCTTGCTTTCTTTGAGAGCAGTAGAAATGGCTGTATCAATTTGTTCATGTGCATCTTCCAAGTTATTCACCACAGCCTGACATAGCAAATCACACAAACCAGATCAATCACTTGGCTGTATATATTGGCCCAAAATGAAAATATCCGCGATACAGATTTTATCAGGCCTTCAATTTACGGATATTTCAGGGATAAATTGATGTGGTTTTAGGTATCGGGGAAAATCGACAAAAAAAACAGATAATGGCTTACAAACACGGAATTTTGAAGTGAAACTTTCATAGATATTAAGCACATTATCAATGAATGTATTGAACTAATAAAATTCAAAATGTACAAAGTATAAGATATGCATATGATGAAATGTACGTATATATAAAATGCGCAATGAAAATCCTGAAAATAAATACAATTGGACTTAACACAGCAAAGACTACATTATTCAAACATAACCCAACCCAACCCATTAATATATAACCCAACATTATATTACAAGAATCAGACTTATTGATAAAGGAAATGAGAGATAGAAGATTATGTGAAAAATAAAATCAAACACACAAGAAACCGATCAACTAGAGAGAGGAGAGGAAGAGTCAAAGATAGCCGAAATGACTTAGCAGAGAAGAAAGGAGAAGCTACTAAGTATTAGAGCTTGGTTTTTGACATTGATTCGGTGGCTGGGACCTATGATTACTTTCAAAACTGAAGACAAATTTATGAGTTATTTGTCAGGTATTGGGAAATATCAGTAAA